GACTATGTGTTATAACTTAGAAGGCAAAGGTGAGCAAGCACAAGCTAGATGTGTATAAGAGACAGAATAATAACAAATAAGAGACTTGTGGCAAGTCTAACTGGCATACTGTTTTCGGAAATAAATACCATTTTATACACATGCGCAGATCGATTCGCCAGCAGCGAGTCATCGCCAGCAGCAGCGAGTCGCCAGCAGCGAGAAGTCACTGCAGCAAAACACTATTATATTGTACACGGTACCAACGCTGTTCTATATATAGACAATGGGTCGTGTCTCATATTATTTGTTATATTTTTATTATTCATTATTTTCACTTGACTCGCATAAATAATTTTGTTCGAAGGACATTTTATGCAGTTTTACTTCGCAGCACTTGCAATTTGCAATTTCTAGTTACTATTATTATGCATCCATCCGTGCTCATTTTATAATAATGTGATGCCTGCTACGGTAATGACCTACTGTAAATGGATCACAGTATCCTATCGTAGAGCTTATCCAGCAAACAGAAACAGAACAATCCCTTCATATCATATCAATCAAGACAAACATACAACTAGTTAATTTTGAGGCAGAATAATCCGAGAAAAAAAAAATCGATTATGGGACGCCGAATAAATTAAAGAGTGAGTAACCCAAAATACAATACGAAGTATATATAAAATTTTCCTTTGTTCGAAACAAAAGAAAATACTACATTGTCGATGGAAGGTAAAGTTGTACTGAGACATCAACAGACTCATTTTTTTACATGCTTTGGACGTAGATAGTTTCAGGTAACGTTGAACCATCGTAGATCAAACTGGAAGAGCTACCCGTAATCTAATAGTGATGTCATACAATTCAATTTGATACGCCATTCCTGTTGGCAGTGAGTCAAGAGAGCAATGGCAATATATATTCGCCATCGGTCAAGGTACTAACACTATCCATCAAAATGGACAAATGTGGAATGAACGCACTTTAATATCGTTGCACGTTGAAGATTTGTTTTTACAGACAAACATGATTTTGTCTTTTACAAAATATGTTTTGTAAATTCAGAATAACTTTCGTATATTACAAAACATGATTTGTCTCTTGGTTTTGTATGACAGAATAGGTAGTGTGTCGTTTGGCGCCCCTTACCCTGGATCGATGTCAGAGATCTTTGTATTCACAAGCAGCGTGACCACTGCTTGGGTATTTACCCAGATCTTGGGTATTTTGACTTGGTCTTGGGTTCTTGGGTATTCCGTTCAAATCCTTGGGTATTTTATTTTTACTAAGAAAATTTAAATATTTTTGTCATAGAGGAAGAATTAAGAAGTAACAAAGTATATTTCAGTCCATTCAAGTAAGCAAAACTCAACAAAGTGCACATAACATTGTTAATTGACTGTTAATTGCTCATATACATGGGTTCAGAATTGTTAATTTGTGATCTGCGTTGTCATTGATCTTACCTAATTAATGCATTACATAATAAAACTAGATCACTGATCTACACTGATAACACTGGCCGACTGAGGGCGTATTTTTCTATCCGTATTATTACCTCATGAATATTAATTTTAATAATTAACACAAACGATTACAATAAAAAATGGTTTATAAATTGAACTAAAAGGGAAACTATACATTCGAAAAACACGTATTTTTCAAATTTTAATGCATTTTCAGGAAGCTTGGGTAATTTTGGGCAATTTTTGCTGAATCTTGGGTAATTTCGACACAGTCATTGGGTATATCAAAAATTGTGAGTGGTCATGCTGTCCACAAAGTACACAATTTTAAGCTTCTTCGTGATGGCGTCATTGTCTTTGCTACCAGTAGTGGAATCTGTACTATGGGTATATTTAACGCGATGGTGGAAAGTCTTCATAAATGTTACAAAGAAGAAAATGTATGCATGGAGTAACAGCTATGTTGTTGTAAGTACTTTAACAAAAAGGTGTTTTATACATACATAAACTTAAATTTGTCGAATTCTCTTACGCCATGTCCATGACTACTCATCACTCTTCCTCGACACAGGCTACACCCAATGCATTGACTGACACACCTTTCAACATTTATATAGTTTTTTTGAATAAGGTGAGAACATATTCAGAACAAGTTAAGCTTAAGATTCGAGTCGGGGAAGCATTGTTTTCAACCAGCAGAATAAACGAAGGGGCGGGTGAAGAGAATCCCAGGACAAAACGTTCATTAGTTCAGCAGATTCTAATGCCCATGTGAGTAAATAATTTTTAATAGGCCTATTTGCAATTATTTGGGATCAAATAAAATGATGTCGACTGACAGTAGGTCGGTTGTTTTATACCTGTTAACAAAAGTGTAATTGATTACCGAGAAAACCGGGTTCTACAGATATTTTAGGCAATATAGAAAGAAAGAGACAGTCAGACGCAAATTCATGATACATAAAGCAGATGGTTTCTCTTAATGTTTTAGGCACAACGTCAAGAATGGACCTTTCCGCTAAGCTCCGCCCCTTGGATATTGTTGCTTAGGTCCCACAAAGACAACAGTGTTAAAACATACGCGAACACGTGCGTTTGTGGGACAACACGTGTGTTTGTAAGACGCGCGCGCATTCCTAGCGCTGTTCTGATTAGTCAGTTGTTAAGTTTGATTGACACTCCGGAAAGGTCTATTGCATATAGCGAACTAATGACTTATATGGTGACCTACTGCTACGGTATGACGTCTACTGGATTATGATATCCCATTGGTTCAGAGTTAATCCATGAAACAGGAACAGAAGAAAAATCCCTTTCACAAGGCAAATATATACAGACATAATGCTCTACTACATCAATGTTATGAAGTGGCTCAGAGAGTGGAAAGCTGTGATTTTGGTGGTGAGAAAAATATCTCGACGTAGACAGGATATTGAATCCAAGATTTTGGGATTGGAATGCAAGTACAGCTCCACAATAGATAGCTGTACTGTAAGTAAGTCCGAGTAACTGAGAACAATGCAGTACCGCACAAATGCAGTTGAATATGATAATAGTATTATTGATTTTAAACGATGGTATTAGGACTACAAAGGGACCACTCAAGCATGTGGTTTGACTATTTCGAGCGTGAAAGGTATGACGCAGTTTAATTTACCTCTACATTAAATGTTTGGTTAGTCAGTTACGCCCTTTATCTTCAAATAAGACCATCTCTACTCTGGGCCTGGTTTTATCAATTTTGTCTCAATCAGCCTACACCCAGCCAACATTTAGCAAGAAGCTGTCCCAGTCGGACTAGGGTATGTATTTAATCAGTAATGAACGTGATGAGTATCATAGGTAACTGGGTGCAGGGGCGTACGGTGAAAAAAGCGCAGGGGGAAAGCTGAACTCGGAGCAATTTAGCGAAGCTTTCAGAATTCGCGGGGTGCGTTATTTGTGAGTGAAGCGAGAAACTAGGCTGGGGCTAGGGGGCCGCAAAAGGGGGAAAATTTACGTTTTTACGTTCTAGTGCATTAAGTTCAATACCAAGTCTGACAAAATAGGCCTAATTGTAAACGTGGTTTTTGGGCAACACCAGACTATAC